CTCCCGAAGTTCAAGTTTGGAAGCAGCCTTATTGTTCATCATCCAGTGGTTCTAAAATGGCAGTGCAAGGAATACTGGTGGCCTAGAATGAAGCTTTATCTGGTCTTAATGTAATGAGAATAATAAGGACAACATGTTTGAGTAATGTCTTCCTATTCATTTATCTATGTAGGTGTAAAGTCACCAAGTGACTTTTCTTAGAAGGAGTTTCTTTATTCTGAGATTATAATATTCTTGCTTTTTTGATGTCAAAAATCATTTCGTATGAAATAATGGCAACTTAGAGTAATATTGTTCATGTTTTCATGTTGACAACCCTTTATTAGTTCCTCAATGTCTCTTTATTTTTTTGATCCATCTAATTGCATATGGGTTTTAATGGTGTGTAAGACTAGTTATAAAGGGGTTCTTCATATATCTATTAACATTGTGTGATTCATTTATTCTAGTAATAAACTTAAGGCCCAAATTAATTTAAAAGCCTAGCTACTTCCTCATGCATTTGACCTATGATTTTATCTGCAACCTGGTTTGAAGCACCTTTACACCACGACCCTTTTATACTAGCCTGACCTAATTCTACATGCCTCTTTGCCAATAACACTTTTTATATTACACTTTACAGTTTACATAATTCTTTCATATGTATTAGCTTATTTGATCCTTCATGACCTCAGTGAAGAAAACAGGTATTATAATTTACATTTTACAGATAAAACAGAGATTCTGGGAAGCAGAATCATACAAGCAAGGAAATGGAAGAGAGAGGACTTAATTCTATTATACTCTCCAAAATCAGCCCCTGAGTATAGAGAATATCGCATCCTAGGCGAATTGACAAGGACACCTATTTTAACTTTGTGTTGGGCTAACCTACAGTAGATTTTCAAAACTGTGTTAATTTTGTATCTTTCACAGCAAAGACATATTAAGATTTTTATTAAGTTATGGATCTTAAGTTTCCTTTGGATTACAATCGAAGTAACCTTTCAGGGCAAAGCTAAGGTACAATCAGTTTTTGAGTTTATAGATTCATTCATTCAACAAATATTTATTTGGATACATTGTAAACCAGACCACACTTTTAAGTGTTATTCTCCATGTCCCATAGTATTCCAAGGTATGTAAGAGAGGCAAAGAAAACATCCATGGCATGAGGTTTTACAAATATCATAAAAAAGCTTCTAATTTTAAAATTTTAATTGAAAGAATGAGTACGTTTACTCCTCTTAACCCATTACTTTGCAGGTTCATTCTATTCTCTTCTTCTCTAAACTCTTTGGCCTGAAAAACGAGTATTCCTCTGGGAACTATCAATTCCTTCTGTGATATAAAATGTATAATTTCAATATTTTGTAACCTGGATATTTACTTTCTCATATTTTTAGGAGATCATTTTAGATTCTATAATTAGAATTAATATGCATCTGGAATGTCTTTAATTTGGTCTCACCCACCATAATTAACTCTGGGCTATGTTTCCCTAGGCTCCCTCGCTACCTGTAGATCCTTTACAGATGGTCATTTACAGCACCCACGTTTCAAGAAGAACAGCAAATTTTACTTGTGTCCCTTGCCCTTAATCAGATTGCTTACTCAAGTCAATCTTTATCTCCAATTTCCTTTCTTTCCCATTGGTGTTTTATTATTTTTCTAACCCAGAGGAGCCAGACTCCTAGATTAGGTATTTCTTGAATTTACATATTGTAATCTCATCTGCTCATTTCCTTAGGCAGTCATTGTACATTTGGTAATTCTATTATTATAGATCATTATCTATGAAACCATTTTGTTTTTCCACAGGAGAGTCTGGAACCCCTGCTGACCTATTCTTAAAAAGTTACTCCGAAATATATCTATACTTAATCAAAAAGTTTCAAAGAAGTAAATCTTTATTTCCGTAACTAGAAAAATTAAGATTTCTGTTTTTAATACTACGCTTTGAATGCCTTCAAGTTTCAAAACTGTCAAAAGAGTTTTATTTGTATGTATGTCTCATTTTATTTTTATATCTATATATATAAATCTACCTATCTAATATCCACCACACTTTATATGTATGTGAGCATAAAAGGAATAATATTTTTATAAAATAAACAACATACAAATGCCTAATTACTTTTTTCTTTTTTTTATAAACAACTGTGGTCTCACATTTTACCTATTCTAAACAAAGCTATTTTTTTTTTTATCTTGCTTTTTTGGGACTTTTTGCTTCTTGGAGAGTTAAAAAGAAAATCAAACTTGTACTTGACCAGCTAAAATGAACTTTACAGTCTCTTTTAAAGATGGTTTCATGAATCGTAAAGCTAAGTAAAAGCTATTACTTCCTGACCATGAAGATGAGGCCGAAGTTACATCCATAAGGGAATCAGGAGAAGAGCAGGAATTGGAACCCAGCTCTCCCACACTCTGTCTAGTATGCCATATCAACTGAGGCGTCCCCTCAGGCTTTCCTTCAGTCTCTATTTAAAACACATTTGATATTCTGTGTTCTAAACTCTCAGCATGTTAGAATTACCATATTGGTTATGAGGGGTAGGGGAAAAGATGTGGCATCAATTCGCTGACCTGTCAGACAGGAGCTGACAGTACATAATGAAGTCAGAGACAAGTCACAAAACTCAAATCCAGCAGCCTAAGGCCATTCAGCAAGGAGCGAAAAGGCTTACATTCTTAGAAGGCTTAGACGTCACTACTATGTTAGAAAATAGTAAAGTACTGGTACTGGTGGAGGAAAAAATCATTAAGTAATGGCTAAATTATGTTCACTCTATGTGATCTGGAAAAGCCAGGATATGGATCTGAAGTTCAAGAAGACAAAGCCCTTTTGGATAGGCACTTATCAGTGCTGCACTGTGGAGGGAGGCAAGATCATGAAGAGAATGTCTCTCTTCCATGGGCCAATGAATAAAGTTCAATTCAACACTTGTCCACACTCATATACGTGTTACTAATTTTGTTTTCTACTTTTTAAAATATCAGTGGTTGCTAACCAGGTGAGGAGATCATGGTGACTTGGTTTATTGTTTGAAACTTTCTGTATTAAAAAAAAGGGGAAGAAAGAGATAATAATTATCTATTGGCTTTTTACTTAAAGCATATTTAAAAAGCTTTTAATGAATACTGCTGGAGAATTAGACACAATCAAATATTCCTTATAGGAATAATTCAGCTAGCTGTAAAAATAATTCATAAAGAATTATGCTTGTTAGAATGTCTTTCATCAATAAGATAAGTGATAGCAAATGCTGGCAAAGATGTGTAGAAAAGGAAACCCTTGTGCACTTTTAGTGGGATTGTAAATTAGTGAAGCCACTATGGAGAACAGAACGGAAGCTCCTCAAAAAATTAAAAAATAGAAAGACCATATGATTCAGCAATTTCACTTCTGAGAATGTATCCAAAGGAAACAAAAACACTATGTCGAAGAGATATCTCACCCTCTTGTTCACAGCAGCATTATTTACAATACCTAAGACATGGAAACAAACTAAGTGTTCACTGATGGATAAATGGATAAAGAAGTTGTGATACACACACACACACACACACACACACACACACACACATATACACAGTGGAATATTATTCATCCATTAAGAAGGAAATCTTGCCATTTGTAACAACATGGATGAACCTTGAGAGCATTAAGTCAAAAATCATAGAAAAAAAAGATCAGATGTGTGGTGACCAGAGGTAGAGGATGTAAGGTGGGAGAATTGGATGAAAGTGGCCAAAAGGTATAAACTTGCAGTTATAACATAAAAGTGCTAGGGATGTGATGTACACATGATGACTACAGTTAATGCTGCTGTATGGTGTAGGTGAAAATAGTTAAAAGAGTAAATCCTGAGTTCTTAATTACAAGGAAAAAAACATTTTTTTCTTCCTTTTTTGGTACCTATATAAAACAATGGATGTTAACTAATAGTGGTAATTATTTCACAATATATGTAAGTCAATTCATTATACTGTACACCTTAAACTTATTTAAAAGGATTATATTTTGGGGAAAATATTTATATATGTTTATAAGAACAAATGCTTTAACTTTTTCTATACAACATATGAAGTTTTGACAGTGAAGCCATGCTCATTTCATGGAGTACATTGAAAGAATCACAATTATTGGAGTATTTGACTAAACATATCAAGATCAAAATCTAGGCCTCAAGGAATTTTATCTGAATTGTTTGGGTTACCTTAGTGATCAAATTAACTGGATAACTGCCAAATTTATGCCATTTAGAGATGAACTTCCCATAAGAGGAATAATATTTTGGCATTAAGTAGGTAATCTTTATAAGTGAACAGTTTCTGATTTTCTAAGAAAAATATTTAAAATCCACTGAATTTATGGTTTAAAGCCCAGATATTAAAAATATATACATTACTTTCTTTGCTGGTTACTTACCCTAGCTTGCAGATACTCATTAAATAAAAAACAAAAACAAAACCAAAACAAAAACGAAAAATCCCAGAGGATTAAAATCTTGAAAAGTTCTTTCTACATATGAACTTTTTTTTCTATTTTAAACTGATTTTGATTTCTGTTATGCATGTCATATCATCAGAAATGTTGAACTCCTTGTCACCGATGCTCTCATCTTCATTTGCTTGTAGTCACCTGAGCAGCCTTGTAACTGTCCTCTCCAGGCAGCATATGCGATGGCTCTGGGACTTCGGTGGAAGAAAGCCCTTTTGGATAGGCAAGTATCTGTGCTGTACTGAGGGAGGCAAGAACACAGAGAGAATGTTTCTCCTTCACGGGCCAATGATTGTGGCTTACAATAACGAGCAACATTAGATTGTTGGACAGTCTATCTTTTAAAACTCGTCCTAATTATACAACACTTTCATTTTTGGACATCTAGTTCAAAGAAATAATGATGGATGTAGTTGTATTTATTGGTAAGAGAACTCAAAAAATGGTATTTCTAAAAGTAAAAAAATTAGAATTAGCTATAAATAGGGGATGGTTAAATGAATTATTGTATAGCCATTTGAAGAAATAGTAAATATTTAATGCTTTCATAAGATATTAAATATTAGACATGACAAAAGCCTATGTTTATTAATTTATTCAATAAATATATGTTGGCTGTATACTATATATAAAATATGTAATGTATTTATGGCGAGGTACTAAGTAAAAAACCAGAGTTCATAGCCATATGAAGCATGAAATAATTTAGAATTAAAAAGAAATTTATATACATGGGATGTATGTATATATACATATAACATATGTAAATACATATATAAAAAATATGCCAAAGAATTAGAAATATTTTACCTCCAGTTGAGAATTATAGGTGATCTTAATTTTATTCCTTATGTTCTAAAGTTTTACTATTTTTTACAATTTTAACAATAATACAAATCCTTTCAAGTCACTTAGAAATAGAATTCTCTGGGTACATCTAAGTCAGTCAGTTTCTTGCCATCTCTTCTTAAAAGTGTTGTATTTCAGGGAACTCTAATAATCCCATTCTTGGATTCTCAAAGTCTCTTTAATAATCAATGAGTCTCTAAATTCTGAAATTATCTGAGAGTATTAAGTTAAAGTTGAAGGATAAGATTTCCCTTCATCCAAAACTGTTTTCAAGACTCTACCCCACAAAGTATTTAGGCATAGCATCACCTGATCAATAATTCTAGGAAACAATCCAGAAGGAGATAGGTTATTTCTAACCAAAGTACTTCATTTTATTCTGCCTAAAAATAATTGGCAGAATCAGTTGAGAGAAGGTTATACGCTATGTAACTAAGACTATTTTCACAGTCAAGTTGGGTTTTGGAGATGCCAGATTATGCTATTGCAGGGGATCCTTTTCTCAGTTTATTCTTTTTATTTCACTTAGGAAAGGGAATGAGGAGGAGAAATGCTTTTTAAAAATTACAAAAACTTTACAACATTAGAGTGTAGTTTGCAAAAATTGCCAGTGGTAGTAGAGAGGCAAGTTGAGAAAAGTTGTTTTTTATTGGAATTGTAGCAGATTGAAAAAAATCTTAAGCTCCAGATTAAAAATAATATTTAGTAAGCTACTTTGACTTATGAAAGCCAAGACATTTAAATATTGAGAAATAAGATAAGAGTGTATCTGTGTCCCTGATGTAGAATTTCTGCCTGTAGGATAATATGAATAATAATTGCCATTCATTACACACATATATTGCCGTGTACTTTACATGTATTATCTTATTTAATCCTCAAAACAGCCCTAGAAATCCTATTTTTATTCTAATTTCTTAGATGAGAAAACTAAAACTTAGAATGGTTATGTAACCTGACCAAAGATGCTCAACTAATAAGTGGTGGAGCTAGAATTTGAATTCGGATCTGTCTGACTCCACAACCTTATGTGCTTAGTTCTGTCTTATAGGTCCTATTCCATGTTTTAGAATGTAGGTCCATTTTTTCCATGTGATTACTGAGCTTAGAACAATAGAACGATAGGATATCCAAGTATAAATGTAATTATTTGGCACATTCTTCCGTTCACTTTAGGTTTGAATGACCAAATGCATGCTGGCCACTGGGAGTGGATCAGCAGTGAACCTGTCACCTTCACCAACTGGAGGAGAGAGCCCCCTCAACGTTCAAGGCCTGGCAAGAACTGTGTTTTGGTTCAAAAACAAGGAAAATGGCAAATAAAGGATTGTAGAAAGGGCAAAGCTCACAATTACGTGTGTTCCAGGAAACTCTAATGTAACTGGCCTTATAGGTGCCCCATGGAATTTCTCACCTATTTATTTACAGGATTTGTGCATATTGCTCAATAGAAAACAAGGTGTCATGACTGATTTGGCACTTTTTTTTATTATAGTGTATGAGTGATATCTAGTTTTTTTAAAAAAAGGAACATAAATGAATAGTTCCAGGAAGATTGATAAATGAATATTTCTTACAGGAAAAGATACAATTCTTACATCTCAATCTCTTTCAAAATAAATGCTTGATGTATTATATGGTGCAAGATTTGCTTGTTCCAGGAGACCCCCACCCTGACACCCTCCATATCTCAGTCAGCACCAATTTCATGGTCTTTGGATTTTTTGGTCCCAATATCTCAAATGAGTCCATTCTGAAATCGATATTGCAGGTGCTTCTACCACTTCAGTCTGAGTGAAGCTAACCCTGCCAGTTCATTAAATCAAGGTTGAACTGCAAAGGGTTGCTTTGTCCCTTTGGAGCCCTTTCAAATGTGAAACCTGAAGTAAGAGGCTGTGGATCAAAAGGAGAATTCTCTGTGGTGAAAAAGGAAAGCTTTAGATGGAAGAATCTTGCTGATGGAAGCTCATCTGCAAAGCTCTAGTTCAGGTAAGAATTCAAGGGCTACCTGTATTTCAGAGGTCTACTCATCACTATTCATGAGACAGATCTCCCTTTGTAATAAGAATGTTGGCATTGTACCATTCCAAGGCTACATGATTGGGTTTCTCCAGCCTTACAGAGTCATGAAAAATTTGAAGTAACATGAACCTCTCTCTTCATTCATGTTTATAGCAGTGACTAGCATTTCTCAAGGACATTTGGAATAAAGAGTATATATAAATGATGGTTAATATGTGGAAGAAAAATACTGCTTCCTCAGAAGTATCTCAGTGAATGAGGCTGATGAACAGAGAAAAAGAAAATACTTAAAACAAAGCCCTCAAAAGCCTATATTCTCAGAAAGGATTTTCATGCAATTTTGAGCCCTTAAATCTTTAATAGTTGTAGAAATGCCATGTTAACTTGACTCTCTAATGTAAAGGTAACTTATTAATTTATAATGTCAACTGAGTGAAACATTTTGTAACAGTGAAGTATGTTGCAGCCTTATAAGAACTTCCTTCTGAAATCAAGGTTTAATTACAGGAAATTAGAAATTTATTTCTGAAACATTTACTCAAAATTTTCCTCTTTTCATAATCACTAGAAAGTACGGTTGTGCCAAATGTAACTTGCTATAGGAGCACCAGTGTAACTTCAGAATCAAAAGGAGGTTACTGAGTAGACCAAAGCCTTAGTGCAGGTTTTATTATAATAATACCTTGAGTGAAATTGAAAAAGACTGAAGACATTCAGTCCAGTTTCTGGATATAAAACATGACAACCTTGTTTTATTTCTGCTCAAGACTTTGATTAATAGAAATATTTGCAAAGAGACGCTGGAATCAGGCTTAGACATTCTACTTCTTAATAAAGTTAAACATCATTGTGGAGTCGGAGGCTCCTTACATTAGATATCACAGGGAGACACTGGACTGATATAATATTCGGGTCTCCTGTATGACACAAGCAGTCTTTGGTGCTTAACCAAAAGATGCACAACCCATCCTCTGTACCTGTTCCAATCTCCTCTGATCCTCTGGCCTCTGCAGTGCAGGAAGGTGTGATGCCAGATAAAGAAACAGAGTTGTTCACCGAAAGGGTTACATCTAGGAGGGAAAGTGAAAGTTCAAGAAATAAGAAATTTAAGGGCCACATCTTTCTACTGTAACTTTAGGACTATATTAACTATTTAAAACTGAAACCCAGAACCATGACAATTATGTCATGAATCTGGTCGACATGGTAGGTAGATTTTATCATGCATTTCTGCAATGACAGTGACATTTAAGTGTAATTACAATGTTAGCACAAAAAGAGAACGTTTTGGTTTTTTATAGCAACAAGACATACTAGAAGAATGTTTAAAAATATTCCTGATTGCAAAGGCATTAATCAAGCTATAAAAATCCAAGTAAGAGATGGAGACTTAAGGTAGCTAAGAAGAAGAGCATCAGAAAGAAGGACCTGAACACCTCCCAGCCCTTCTTCCCACACTTGAACATTGACTCAGGAAAAGACCCACTTTATCCAAGGGCATCAATCCAGCAAAATAGTGTGCAGCCTTTCAGAATCTTGCAATTTTTGGTCTTTAACAAAAATGTACACTTATGCAGCATATATTTGCAAAACATGAACTTAAAAAAGATAATTATTTTATCTCCTTCCAAGGAGTGGTAAAAATGAACCAGGTGACATTTATTTACATTTCTGTTTTTGTTTATTTTTAATAGAGCCAAAAAGAATATGCACATATTTTCATTAACAGTACAGTTCTGTATAATTTAAACCATAAATCAGTGCTGGTTAATTTCTGCAACAAAGCAGCATATTAAATGTACTGTATCATGCGTTATCTAGTGTTGTATCAAAATTAATGAAATAAACATTTCTAGTTCTGAACCACTGTTCCTTTAGTTTTAACATTTTATATTTATTCTACCTATTGTTAGACGGAATGGAGAAGAAGAATGGAAAAGAAAGATGAATGTGTCTTTTTTATCTTTACTTTTAGATCAGTCTTTAGCTATGTGACTTCTATCCATTCACCCAGCTACACATCCATCCATCTACCATTCATTCGACAAATATTGAATATGGAGTGCCAGTCCTCCACCTGACATTATCCTAGATGCTGGAGATATTGTAGCAAATGAGATAGGAAAATAAAAATATAAAAGCATAGCACATATACGCAAATTTCTAATAAGTTTTTTTTTAAGTGAGAAGCTTTTTATCGAGGAGGATGTCACAGAAAAAAAATTATTGATTATATTATCCTTTTTCAGAATTGAAGGAAAATATACACTAAGAGAAACGGCTCAGGTTGTCTTCTGTTTTGTTCTCTCCTGATTAGGAAACTGGCGTTAACTTTTTGAATTTTTATTCAGCTCAAAGTGTTATTGATAGCAGCTATCCCAAATTTTCTATCTCCAGACCAAGTTAGGAACTAGAATAATTAAATTTATCTGATTGGTTTTGCAATGATATTTTTCCCCCAAAGGATAGCAGGATGTCTTTCTGTGTCTTTGATATTCCTGTAGCAACAGGAATAAAGAAGAGAGAACTTCAATATCATTTTATCTAATATTCATATTGTACAACAGAGGAGACTAAAGTTCTCAGAAGTTAAAGTATAGGAAGAAATCAGCATTAGAACTGGGGTCTTCCAAACCGTAGGCTGAATCTCTTCAAACTATTCCACATGTCTATTACCACTCTGAGCAAATTTGTTTGTTTGTTTGTTTGTTTATAGTCAAGTAAAATGTCTTTGAATGAGTATTATAAAATTCACCATATACTTGAAAACATTATAGCGAAAGAAGATAGACACAAAAGGCCTTGTATTGCATGATTCCATTTATGTAAAATGCCCCGAATAGGCAAATCTATAAAGATAGAAAGTAGATTAGTGGTTGCCAGGAGTTAGAGAAATGGGAAAATGGGACTGATTGCTAATAGATGCAGGGTTTCTTTTTGAGGGAATGAAAATGTTCTGGAATTATCTTGTATTGCATGATTCCATTTATGTGAAATGCCCCGAATAGGCAAATCTATAAAGATGGAAAGTAGATTAGTGGTTGCCAGGGGTTAGAGAAATGGGAAAATGGGACCGATTGCTAATAGATGCAGAGTTTCTTTTTGAGGGAATGAAAATGTTCTGGAATTAGATAGTGGTGATGGTTGCAGAATACAGTGAATATACTAAAAACCACTGAGGTATATACTTCAAAATGGTAAATTTTATGTTATGAGAAATATAGTTCAATAAAAAATGCTATTTAAAATCATCATATAAAATTTTAGAAAGCTATAAATAGGTTGAAATGTTTGATGCTTTTTTCAGTCATTGCCCCATGTCTCACCTAGGTTTTTGTTTGTTTATATAGTTGGTTAAGTGGAAAAGAATGCTGATTCTACATATTTTTTAATTTAGAGTACTGCTTTATTGATTTCCTTCTTTTTCTCTCCATTAATCATGGGAGAACTGTTACTGATGGCAGAGTGAGTCTGGATATCTATAATGTCCAGAATGCTATGATTTTCTCGAAATTAATTTTACAAGTTTTTAGAAGAGGGTCATGCAGGAAATGAATATAATATCCTCATAGCTTAAACATGTAACTGTTCATTTTGAACAGTTTTTATAGGTCTTATATTTTGCTAGGTAATAAAGTTTAATTTGTCTTAAGATGGAAAGGGACAAAAATCAACCAACATTTCCATTAAAGGTCTTATCATAACCTGTAATACTTTTTACAAGCAATGAAATATGAATTTATCTTTTGTTTCTATCCCTCTCTGTATTTGTGCTTCCAAAAGGCAATCAATCACAATTTACCCTACAGAAGAAGAATGAAAAAAAAAAAAAAATACCATCTTAAAACTAGTCAAAAGAAAGCTGGAGTGGCTATATTCATGTCAGAATAGATTTTAAAGCAAAAACTATTACCAAGGATAAAGATAGTTACTTTATAATTTAAAGGGGTCACAGATTAATAATATCAGGAATGAGAGGGGATATCACTATAGATTCTATAACAACTAAAAGACTAAAAAGGAAATATAATAAACAACTTGAGACAATATATAACTTAAATGAAATGGACAAATTCCTTGAAAAACAAACTATCGAAACTCAATCAAGAAAAGACAGATAACTTGAAAAAACCCTATAACTAGTACAGCAATTGAATTTGTAGTTTAAATTTTTTTCACAAAGAAAATTCTAAGGTCAGATAACTTCATTATTGAATTCTACACATATTTAAGAAAGAAATAGTATCAATTCTATAAAACTCATCCAGAAAATGGCAGAGGAAAGAATACTTTCTAACTCATTCTAAAAGGCCAGTATTATTCTGATACCAGACCATACAAAAATAATACAAGA